TGTGCAGCACCATTATGTGAATTAACTAACATTTATTTTTCAATTGCTGTTGCCCCATTAAATACTTATTTTGTGTACTTAGGTATGTGTATTTGAAGTTTATATTAAAGATATTTTATTTTTATGTGTATATTTATGCATAATAATATGTAAAATATTTTTTTGGCAGCATGGAAATTTCATCAAAAGTCTGATAGTAAGACTTCGCGTAATCTATTTAGATTTTCTCTCATACATTTACCAGCATTGATGATATTATTATTTGTCAATAAACATGGTTTGTGGTCAGGAAACAGGTACATAATAACTAAAACAAAAAAAAAAAAAATAGTATAGTAAATTAGTTTAAAATATAATTTTAAATTTTACAGCAAACCCAAAGAAAATAGTGAAGTAATCACAGTTAACAAGGATGAAAAAACCATTAGTTCAATTTTTAAAAAAGCTGAACCATTATAATTTTTATATTGTTAAAGGTTCTATAGTTTCTTCATTGTTACTAATTTCATTTCAATTTGATGTTAAATAAACAGAAATTTGTTGAATTTTATGTTTTTTTTTTTTTTTTATACAAAAATATATATGGTTGCATCATTTATTATTTTATTTAATCTTCAAGAAGATACTGGTTGTGTCATTTTGAATTGACTTTTTTTTTTTTACTTAATTTTTATTTCCATGATCTATTTCATACATTTTGAACAATAAGTGAAATTGATAAATTTGATAATTATGGCGTGAAGGACAGATTAAAGATACTTTTCAGTGAAAGCACTTTTACAGTTAAAGATGTAAGAAAACAAAAAAAAAAAATTTTTATTTAGCAAACTTAGGAGATATAATATGTGGAAAGATAAGTAGGAATAATAAAGGTAGTATAGAAAGAAGAACAAAAGATATTAGATTGGTCTAGACTAATAGGTCACCACCACCTTTTCAACCTATTTTGAGTTGATTCATTTTTTTTTGTTGATAGAATAATTTATTTATGAATACTTTTCTTAGTGGCAGATCCATAGCGAGAACCATTATACTAACCAGAATATAAATTAAGTTTACACCACCTTATATTATTTTATATATTTTTATCAGCCAACTAAAGCTTTTACTTTAATCTGTGGTTATTAGTATTGTCAAAATTTTTAGGTCTCTAAATAATATACTACTTTTGTTTTTATTATCATAGATAATTTTTAAAATCTTTAACTACTTAAAACTATTCTAACATATTAGGTTAGGAAATATTGTGCTTCTGGCAGTACATAGTAGAGCTTTGCTTAATAGCATTAAAAAACTAAAACTAAAGCTCAAATATAGACAATTCAACTATTAAAATTCAGAATGAAATAATTCTCATATTAGAAATAATTTGAATTTTGTACGTTTGTATATTTTGAGTTACGGTTAAATTAATCATAGAATGATTAAAAACTTTTAATGAATTTTAAATTAAAGTTAAAAGTTAAAACATATATATCTTATAAATTGATTATTTTTTTAAAAATATATTTCTATTATTTATTAGTTTTTTTTTTTAACATTAATTATACATACATTATCATTTGCAAAAAGTAACTAAGTAATAATTTTATTATTAAATTTTGAATTATAAAAATGTTTGTCATTCTTTGTATGGCAATGATTCAGGAGTCACTAATTAATATTAGGTACAATGTATATGTTTTTAATATACAATAGGTATTATTTTAAAATTGGAAGTAATGAAAATATAATTTTTTTTATTTATTATCTGTTATTGTTTATAAACGTTAAGAATATAATTAATACTAAAAATATTTGAAAAAATTTAAAATAAAAATTAATAATTCACAACAATAACACGTCTAATTTTGTCGTAATATATTGTCTGTGGGCCGAATAAAATTTGTTCGTGGCATAGGCGTGCAGGGTGTTCCAAGGGACATTCTGCGAATTTAATGGGCCAAAGTGCCCAATATCTCAATATAATTGTCCATAAATTAATATTAATTCTAATGAATATACAAAATCATCACATTATCACAATTCACAATAAAATCAATTATTAAATTAATTTATAAATATTATATTGTGATACTCATATGAAATAGAAAAAAAAATTACGGCTAATGGGAAGATTTAAACCCCATGATCCCCTCCCCTGTAAGTACGCCACTGCATTTGGTGATCCTTAATATTAAACAATAATTAGGACTGTTTTCAATCTATTATATACATAATTATGATTAATTAATTAACAATAGTTAAAATGTTATATTGAAAATTTCAACATTAGGATACTATAACACTAAACGATAGTGTTTTGCTCGGAATTATACATTTAAAACTAATGATCAATCATCAAATCATTTAGATAATAATTTTGAGCAGTGTTTGTTTAAAATCACATTAAAATTTTATATTAATATTTACATTTTTACAAATAAATAACGTCTTAAAATATTTGAAAAAATTAAAAAAAATCTGTTCAAGCTAATTTTATTATTATGCCCAATTATCTTTAAAAATAATATTTCAACCTCAATAAGCATATTTAGCTGGTGTAGGTAATATACAATTTTTATAATTGTTTAAATACTTCAAAAAGTGTTCACACAAAAAAAAATAATAAAAATAAATAGATACCTACTATGCCATTGATTTCATAATACATTATAAAACCAATGCTACTATAGTTTAATTATACATTTTTCAATATTAGCTTAGAAATTTATATAATAGGTACGGGTATAATGGTATATTACTTATATTAGTAGGTATGTATTTATTATTTATTATTATTAAACATGTTCAAAGTCAAAGGTAATGCGAAATATTTCAAACACATTACCTTAAATTTGATTTAAGTATTTTTACTATGCATAAACATTAATATTAATTAAAATAACATTTATTTTTGAAAAATTAACATTTTAACATTTTTTGAACGTACGTTCACAGCAATTTACAATTTTTTCTATTACAAGAACTCTTGACGTAGGTACTTGTGTAGTGTGTACACTGGTAATCACCAACCGGTATATTTATGGTCATCGATTGCTATAATTTTACAACTTAGGTCTTAGACATTTGGCGTGACATATAGGTATTCATTATATAGGTTCCTATTATCCGGTTCTGGGTCAATCGACTGACAGGACAATCAGCCGACAACCAAAATACCGACAAGACAATCAACCAACAGAGTCAATCGACCGACAATCAAATTATGGACAATAATATATATGTCATTTAATATTTTCGGATCTCAATTTATGTCTCCCATAAATTAAGATTATGGACGCACACGCACGCCCTTTAAATTTAAATAAAACATTTTTTCACAATTCCAGTAAAAGAAATCATCTCTATATTTTCTCTCTTACTATTAAATACTGTTCACTACTAATATTTTTCTCGGTCTTGTTGTGGCAGGACAATATCATAATATTCTTTAATTTTATCTATATTACATAAAATACACATAGAGGTTGCGAGTATCTTCACAGACTAATGGAATTTACACAGCCTGAAAAAGGTACCGCGTATCAATTGAGTGCTGGTTGTCACCGGTGTTTGTCGTTTGCGCATCATTAGTACTTCAGGTAAGAAATTTGATTGGTCGTTTGCGCATCGCGAAAATTAAAAATAAAAAGGTATCCTACCTACTATAGTGACATGACATGACCGGATGATACACCGATAACATATAGGTTACGATAATATTAATAACTGATGACTTATGAGTTATAACTTATAAGTTTAGGAACCCCAGTTGTAGTTTCAAGTGGAAACAAATATTAAAATGAATAAAGAGTTAACCTGTTTAAGAAACAAAGAAATAAAAAATATACAATTCGTAAACGAACATTATTTTAAGTATACGAGTGGGGAAATAAATCGACAACAATTTTTAAGTATAATGGAACACGGGTTTAACCATATTTAGATTATATTTATATTTTAATAATTTTGTATTTTTTTTATAAATGTAAATAATGAGTAATTTATTAGCAATTTATAACGAATCTAATCTCATAAGATGATTAAATAATATGGTAGTATACGTTCAAAAGTATTAATTTTTTTTTTTTGCTTTTTAATATTGACGATTATTTTTTGTATATATTTATAGTTTTGTAATTATTGAAATCATAATTTACGTAATAATAATTAATAAAAATTGTTATGTTATATAGGAAAACAATCTAAGCCTTTTTTTAACAATAGCGATGCTCAAACGGCCTACAAAAAATGTAATTCGTAACAATAGTTATAGGAAAACAATCTATGCCTTTTTTTAACAATAGCGATGCGCAAATGGCCTACAAAAAAGGTAATTGGTAACAATAGCGATGCGCAAACGTCCTACGCCCGTTGTCACACGATAAAATGTTTCGATTAGATAAAAACATTATAATACAATATGTATAATGGCTTATTCATTTCATGACCAATTTATTTCTGTAACGTTATAGTCTCCCATAATTTCGGTGTAAACCACATTATTTTTAGTCTTTACTAGAAACAAGTGTCAATTTTTAAAACTTTCAGCAATATTTACTATTATAATAGTTAGGTGTTCTAAATCATATTTAAAGATTCATTTTTAATATTAATTATGGGCAAATTTTTAAAATAAAAGTATAAATTAAACGTAAAATTAAATTTTTGTGTATATTATTGTTGTTGATATTTTGATTGTTGGTCGATTGACCCTGTCAGTTGATTCTCCTGTTGACCGAATAGTTGTCGGTCTATATATTGTCCAATTCCCCTATAATTTTATGATATACTATAAACATTTTACACAAATTGAATTCCGATTTATGAGTTAGTGACTAAAACCGAACTGTATAGTCGTAACAGGTATCGCAGGTCACGAGTTTCGTTCATTATCTTGGTTGAGATCGGTCATTATTCAATTATTGAAACATGTCATTCTCGTATATATGTAATGTATGTACAATTAAGAAATCAATATATTCAAATGTATAAAATATTTAAATATAGGTACCTTTAGGTGTAACGCGACGTTAGCTATCTACTATTTCCATACTTCTATACATGCGTATTTCTAACTCATACATGCGTATTATTAAGCAGTACACTTCGGGCTAATGATTTCAGTTCAATGGTTATGCTTAATTTTCAATTAATGTAAAATGCCGTTGATGTATACATTTTGTACATGGCTGCCCTTACGCCTCGGAACTATCATCGTCGGATTAATATCTATAGTAAGTGTACCTATTATTACATTACTTATAGACCGATAGTAAAAATATTCTTCTTAGTTCCATCTATTTACGTATAAATATATATACGTATATTATGGGTAGTGAATATTATGCTTATAGAGCTATAAATTGGTGAATATAGGTGTAATAGTAATCTTAAACACAGAGTTGGTACTATACATAATATATCCACCCACCACCACAAAAAACTTTGGAATCTATAACTGTTTATATTTTCTATGAATTTATACGAGGTCACTAGATTTACATTATCGAGTAACCTAATTATCTATTAAATTAAACCAATAATTGGCGCGTCTATTGTAGCGAGTAAGTATCCAAGTCTTCGACATAATTATTTACCTACCTACTATAATAATAATAAGTGTAATACATAAAGACATCTTACGGCTAAACATTGTTCAATTACAAAGTGATTCGCCGTGCATGCTTACCCCTCTTTTATTTTATTTTATAATAAATTTATTTAAATTCTGATTTATAAATATTTTAAATATTCTATTTTTCAATACTTAAATTTTTGTATGATTTCGGAGAGGTTTGTTATGTAGACTTTTATTCATATTTTCATATGAGAATCTTCCTTTTCCCCTATAAATTGATAATCAGATGATTTTTGTAAAAAGTTTGATATATTTAAATCAAAAATTTTAATTCCTAGGTGATTAGCATTGTTGTAAACCTAAAATATAAAATAATCAAATTTTTATATGAATAAATAACTATTGTTGTTATTTTTAAATATATATATGTATAAATAAAAAATATCCTTTTTGATACTGACTTTTTTTGCACTATGCTACAGATTTTTACTATATATATTTATATAGATAACTTATAAAAATTATGAACGTAATGTAGAACTTAACAAAAAATTAACTTAATGATTTAAGTTGTTTTATTTTTTTAGATACAGTCAACTATAATCGAAATGGTTTGCATTCTTAGTTTAAGTATGACAGATACCATTTCTCGTGAAATCAATAAAATGCTTCATTCAAATAACATGATTTATACGACTGAGATTTTAAAAGCAGTTGAAAAAGGTTACAATTGAACATTTTAAAATGTCTACTTAGTTAAGTATACTTTTTGTCACGCTTATCGCCGAATGTTTAATTTTTGATGCCGGTTGAAGCGTTGGAAAATGACTTTTTCAATCTACTTAAATCGGAAATGTTATTATTCAAATCAGAATTAATGTATATGAACGTATCGATACGTTTTGTTAATTATATTTATGCAACAAGTACTAAGTGTCAGTTGGTAGGTGGGTTGTTATAGTGTCCTAAGAAACAGTTTGAAGAGAACAGTAAGATAATGATTATAGATTAACGTAATATCGATTGAGGAGGTTTCGGAGGCAAATAATGAATAATTAAAAATAATAAACCTATATTACCTACAAGTGGCTCATGTGAAAGGAAGAAAATTTCAGTCTTGGTTAAAAAAAAAATAGCTCATTTCCCAGGCCTGTTAAATAATATATAATATTATTAATGATTATTCAACTTTATGGAAACATTATAAATATAATAATGAAATTGAACAATTGCGTGAAAATAGTCAACGGATAGGTTAGATACAATATTATTAAAATTAATTATAAAATTATATGATAAATAACAACTAATTAATGACCGTGTTTAACATTAAAAACAATTATCCTATGTGTATTATTAATATTTTTTTTTTTATAATTTTTATAGATCCACGGAATTATATTACAAACATTATGATTTACTTTATTTTACATACTATAAGTTGTGTTGCGTTAATATACGGTGCTTTTAAGGTATCTTTTTAACCAGACCGTTGTTTATTATAATTATTTTATTAAAAATAATTGTGTTTTAATATTAATTATTCATTATTTTTAGAGTTCTATTAAGTTAATACTACCATATATTATTCTGGAATTCATAAGACTATTTATTATATTTTACTTGGTGATTACATCTATGGTTCTAATAAAAATAAATGTGTTGGATTTCTTATTCCTAATTTTTATTTCTGTAATTGGGATAATCCTTTTACGTAAGTATTGAAACATTATTTTCATTATTAATAATATGTATTATAAAAAAATTAAACAATGGTTTTAAATATTTCATATAATTTATATATGTACCTATGATATTTTATAAAAAGATTTGTTTATGTATATTCAATAATAATAATATAAGTATAAATTAAAATAGTAAATGTAAGTATTATAATACTATAATATTTATATTTATAATTTTTTAATAAAAAGTAAAAAGAATTATAAACATTTAGTTTTATTAGTAATTTACTTCTAAAAAAAAATTTAAATATTTTTATGCTAAAAAATTAATAGTAAAATATTTATGTCAGAATTTAAATTAAATTTATATAAACAGCTGCCATATATTACTAATAGTAATTTTTTGAGTTTTGACGAGTAAAGTATTTTAAAAATTTGTATTTTAGAAATATTGATTTATTTGTGGTGTTGTCCGTTGAGTTTGGTGCAGTGCTTGATATTGAACAAGAAATTATTGGGGTCTCAGTCACGAGAATCTTTCGAGTCAAACAACAATGCGTTACCAAAGACTGCGGTAAACAATCAAGACGTCGTATATGATCCGCTATCTGATCATTACGGGTGGAGACCATTCAAACCTAGCTACAGTTATCCTTATGAAAACATGCCACAATATGAGTACTAATTGCTTATTGCCAATCAGCTATGCAAAACAATTAGTGTAAAATATATAGAGTAGGTACTTAATACTTTTTATGCTATGATGATGGGTATTTTAAGATTTAAATAACCTTCGAGTGCATTGATTCGAATCTTGAAGTAACCACTTTAAAGATGATGTTTAAACATTGAGGTCAAAATATTTTTTTTCGATACCTAACTAATTTATTTCGCGTAATTTATTCAATATTTTTGTATATTAATAATATTCTTAATTAATATAATATATTTAAATGCATTATACAAAAAATATACTTATATTTTACACCAATATTTACTGTTGAACTTATTTATCCATACTTACAACTGTTGACACTATACACCAGAGATGGGCAACTCAAAGTAACTAGCGGGCCATTTTTAAGTACTTTAAAATCTAACGGGCCGCAGTGTATAGAAGAAAGTAAAAAAAAAAAAAAAGGTCCTTCAAATATACTAACATTTATTTTTTTATCTTTATTTATTTATATTTACAATTATTATTTAATGTGATACTTGAGGATGAGGTTTTTCAATAGACAATTTAGTAAAATCCACTTCTATTTCTGTAGTTGAAACTCTTAGCAAATGTCCCAAGGTTTCATCTGTTAAACGGTTTAATAATTTAGTTTCGGTTTAAAACTAGATAAGAATTTATATCCACATTTTATCGAAAAATGTAATAAAATAAAATAAAATACAGATAAGCGCTAAAATTATTAAAATTATATGAAGTAATTTGAAAATGGTACGCGGGCCGCCAGTTGCCCATCCCTGTTATACACGATAATATATTAATTGAAAATAACATTTGAAGTATAGAACCTTAAGACATTTTAAACAAAGCACAGTTATTGAAATATTTATTAATTAAATTTAACTTAATTTTATTATTGGTAAAAGCTATCAAGTCTCAAAAATAACATGAAAAGAAGCATATTTATAAATTATTTATTTGATACACAAATTTAGAGAATGAAAACATTTGTTTTTTACTCTATAGAACCTTACAAAACGAATTAATAAAAATACATGCGTTTTACTCTTTATAAAATAAAATTATTGTTGTTTATTATTAAACAGATTCGTATGTTTCTTAAAATTGTATTATTATATATAATAAATTACCTAATATATTATACTATTATTTTATTTCTATACTATGAATAGTATAATATAGACGTGTGCGTGCTGTGTATAGCGGCAAGATTTTATTTGAGGAGAGGCTGATAATAATTTATTATATTTAAGAAAGGCTTTAATAAAGTTTCTCGTGAGTTTGATATGCAATATGTTAATTTTGTTGGTATATAACATTTTAGACTTTTACAACAACCTTTATACAAAATACAGTTTTAATGCATGATTTCGACAGTCTTACGCAGTATTGTTCACTTCGAGTAGTAGGTATTATTATTTTAATAATAATCGATTATACAGCGATAAAACTAGCGTATGCATTATTGCATTTAATTTTTTTTTTTTTTTAATTATTATAATTAAAATGTTCCAGCATAATTATATTCTATTACAAGTTTGTTTACATACAAATCACATAAAAATTATTGTTTAGTTAGTTATTGATCTTCGTTTTCGCTTGAATCAGAAAGAAGGAAATCTTGGGGGATACACGTGGTTTTAGTTGTCAATTTTTTGTTTTGTTTCCCAGTTTGTAGAATCGTGCGCCATCGGATGAATTCAGATTTGCGTGAAAGTTTTTGAACTGGATTGTTATCCACTCTCGAAGTAGAAGGATTTCAATCGCGTTTAATTAAGTTGTGTAAAATATTTTATTATAAAATAATAAATATAGTGAAATTTAAAAGTCATATTTTAAGTTAGATAAGTATTATTGTATGAAATAAACCAACATTTTTACTGATGTGTCAATAAATTAAAAATCTATCAACATTTCTATTAAATAAAATTAATTTTATTATCTATTTGATTTCTACATTGGTGAACATTTAATTCTATTGTTTTATTTTTATTAGCTTTTTTCATTCCTAATATTGAAATTAGATCGATTTGATTGTATTGATTACACTTTACAACATTATATAGGTACCTATACAATATGAACCATGCATCTACAGTAAGTTAAGTTAGTCTTTTAAGCGTTAAACAATAGGAAATCTGTCAATGTGTCATGGCCGTGAATATTTTACATATTCAAAACTAGTCATTCGATATAAATGAAACCAGTCGCAAAAAATACTATAAATCAATTGTACGTTAGTATATTTATGATATACCTTATATATTATTTTATATTGTTTTCTCGATACTACAGAAGTATAGATGAATGATATATGTATATAATATAATATATTATATATACATTATGACCTACATATAGACCTACATATTTGGATTTTGTATATCATAGAGTTAAAAAAACAACTTACAGTCACCCATATTGTAAACGATATTTTTTCGAGTAAATAAAAAATATGATATATGATGTATAGTTAATTATTTATATTATTGGCATCTTAATCATGGCTTTCAAAGCACTCGCCGCTGCAACGGCATATATAATTGGAATATCAAAATGAACGCTTTTTGTTTATATTATTTATATAATTATAATTTGTAAATAAGACCGGGATTTAAATGTATTAAAAATGCTTTTTTAACGCAATAATGGTGTTGAAAAATGACCAACATTTTTTTTTTATAGGCATACAACTATGTAATCAATTAGTAATCAATGGTTTAATTTTAGTTGTAACTTATGCATTTAAATAATAATGATTTTTTTTATTAGAGTGTTTGTATCTTGTATGCATTAACTTTTATAGCTATTAGCATTTTTAATAAATACATTTAATTGTATATTAAATTAAGTTTTTTTTTTTTTTTTTTTTTTTTTTATTATTAATAAAATAAGACATTCCTAGCCGTTGCAGGATATCTATAGATAAAAGACAATATTAAGTTTAATTATACTACAAAGAGTCCTATTAGTTCTAATTACATGGGTTAGGATTAAAATATGTGTCTATGTTAAATGTTTTTAAAAAATTTCGTGTCTTAAAAATTTAAGAAGAATTGACGTCATCTCTGGATCGGGTGATGATATTTTGCATAGATTGTAGGAGAGTATTTTAGTATTTCTGAAGTTTTTCGTCTGAGGCATTCAGTTAACAGGTATTTGACTGTAGCTGCGGTGTTACATATGGTGCATTTACGTTGTTTTTTTATTGTTCAGTAGGTGTTTGTGGGCGTATAATGAATGTTCAATTTTTAGTGTGTTGGTTTTATGACAGATTTTACTAATGCAGTATACATATTATATCATACATGGCATCACTATTCTGTAATATACATTTTTTATCTATTTTAATTTACTGTTTATATATATATATAATTGTATTTAATATTATAAATTAAAAAAAAGTTTGAGTATCTATATAATTTATCTAGTTATTAAAAAGCGTATATTATCTATATATTTATTTACAGGAATATATTATTGGTTTTACATTTCATTTTCACGCTTTATAATTTGTACAGTGTGTTTATTTTTTTTTACTAAAAACTCTATACGTATTATTGGTTATTTGATTGTTTGAAGTTCAATGATTTAAAACGGAAATTCATTGAATTGAAAAAACTTGATATGCGAATTAAGTTTTTTCAATGTGTAAAATTGTTAGTATTTATACAAAAAAATATTAAAGGATAAAATAAAAATAATATATTGAAATTCTAAATTATTTTTTTTATACCTTAATAAAAGTTTATTTATTATAAGAATTATCAAATATTGAATAATACTTAGTTGTTTTTCGTTAAAGGTAACTAAATCAATTATAACTATTTATCGGGTTAATAACAATGCCATCCTGAGGATGTGTAGAGCCTAAAATTATATTGTAACACCACTCTTCTTAGAATATGAAATAAAATAGTATAGATACAAACTATAGTTAAAACAATTATCAAAGTAATAAAGTATTATTTATTTACTTGAAATTAAATTAAACATACAGACAACATACAAAAATAACTATATGTTCCTAGTGCATAGGTATATTCAAATTTAGGTAAATATTTGTAAAAGTATAATTAATAAATTTAATAATAAAATTAATATATTTTAACCTATTCTAGGGTATTAGTTGACGTATAAACAGTAAAATTTGTCATATAATAATAAAACAACAATATTGCATTATTATTATATCACTAAGATATTAAATTTAGATATTATCACATTTAAAAGTAAAATTATTATTTATAGTACTAAATTATTGTACAATTTTGAAACAGTTTATGACTGTATGAGCATTTTAAAATTGTACATTTTTTAATATTCAAAACTTGCTTCAAAATGAAAACAAAAAAAAAAATTACGTGAGTACTTAGATAATATATTATTTTTATACTTAAATTTTATAATAGATCAAATAAAAAAAAATTGTATAGATACTCTTGTACTATTTTTACTTTGTATAAACATTGTTAAGTAATAAGTTGTTGTCCTATTCATTGAAAAATATTTTTATATCATCATAATTTTAATATTATTCAACAAATATATCATTTTAATATCTCTTTATTTTCTGATATTTAAACAATCCTATATTATTATAATATAGATTAAATTTACAAAATGTCGTAATTTCCATAGTAGTTTTACTCATGATAAATTAACCTACAAAAATTAGATAAAGTGTCCTATATTATATATGTACCATTTTATTGTATGTTACATTATACAATTGGTACACAATTAAATATATGATAATATGTTATATTAAAATAATGTACAACTTTAAGTTAATCAAACTAGTAATGTACCATATTTCGTATGTTATAGGTACATGCTAATTATTATATTATTAATATCTATAGCTAACATAAATTCTATAAAATAATGTTAACCATATTCAGATATTTTTTGATTTATTGATTATAGCATATGATATTAATAAAATTAAAAATGATTTAAATTTAAATTTAAAATTCTCATTTTAATATACTTTTTATCAATTTAGTAAAATTACTTTACTTCAAATTAAGACTAATTTAAATAAGTTTTCAATTTAAAAACAATGATACAATCCCCAAATTTGTATACTTAAAATAATTCTGAGTTTTTAAAAGTTAACGATGTCCTTTCTATATTAACTATTTTAAAATACTAATTTGTGATTATACTAAGCGAGTTGTTTTATTTTA